GTGTGTGTGTGTGTGAGAGAGAGAGTGAGAGTGTGTGTGTGTGTGTGAGAGAGAGAGTGAGAGTGTGTCGGTACTATAGCAAAATTCTGAGGACTGTGTAAATGTGGCATGTTGAAATTGGTTCTGAGAGATGTGGAGGTGCCGGTAGCAGTCTATTATTTGTTTTGTCTAAAAAGTTATTTTAGTTGGGGATGATTTTAGGTTTTTATTGATGCGTTCTCAATTTTACTCCTAGAAATTGGTGCGGAGCAAGGCATGTGCTGATGCTGGTTTGTTAGATGAGAATCTATTGAGAAGATGCCTCCAGTTTTATGGCACATTAATTCAATTGATCTTTCGTCTGGTTGATCCACACTACCCAGAGTAAGTGTTCTGCTCTTGTTTTACACAGTATCATCACAAATTGCAGTAATATTTCTATCTGTTAGACATAGAATGGCTTTGTTCCATATCTTCCTAGATGGACATGCGCAAAGATAGTATAATTTATTCATGTGTGCCCTCCACTGATTGATAACTGGAATGTAGGTTCATATGCTTGTTGTTTTCAGTGAGAAGAAAGTGTGAGGCGGATCACTTTAAATCTGATGCCTAATGAATAATGATTCCTGGTCTCGATTATTCTTGTTATTTTTTCTAACGTTTGCTCCCATCATTTATTGATGGTGTATAACTTGTACTGGCAAACTAATAATTTAAGTGATGGAGAGCAAGACGAGGGCACCTGAGCCAGCATCTTCCTGGCCTAAAGTGGAAAGAGTAGGGATTTCTGAATTACAATCCTACACAGAGATCCTTGCTGATTTATATTTTCTTCCCTTTTCCATTTGCACGGGGGATCTGAATTTGATTACTTTAGTTGTAAATGCGTTGTTAAGGAAATGTGATTTATATTCTGCAGTCCTGCCACATCCAGTCACGAACGGTAGTGGATAATCAAACAACTCCCTGAAGGAAGAGGCTCCACAAATATCCCCATCCTCAATGATGGAAGAGCCCAGTACATCAGTGCAAAAGATAAGGCTGAAGCTTTAGCAGCAATCTTTAGCCAGAAGTGCCAAGTGGATGATTCATCTTGGCCTCCTCCGGTGGTCACCAGCATTACAGATACCAGTCTTCAGCCAATTTGATTCACTCCATGTGATGTCAAGAAATGGTTGGAGCTTCTGGATACTGCAAAGGCTACGGGTCCTGACAACATTCCAGCAATAGTGCTGAAGACTTGTGCTCCAAAACTTGCTGCTCCCCTAGCCAAGCTGTTCCAGTATAGTTATAACACTGGCATCTACCTGACAATGTGGAAAATTGCCCAAGTATGTCCTGTACTTTAAAAGAAGGACAAATCCAACGCAGACAATTACTGCCCCATCAGTCTACTTTTGATCATCAGTAAAGTGATGGAAGGTGTCATTCAACAACGCTATCAAGCAGCACCTGCTCAACAATAACCTGCTCAGTGACACCCAGTTTGGGTTCTGCCAGGGCCACTCGCCTCTTGATCTCATGACAGTTTTGGTTCAATCATGGACAAAAGAGCTGAATTGCAGAGGTGAGGTGAGAGTGACAGCCCTTGACATCAAGGCGGCATTTGACCGAATGTGGCATCAAGGAGCCCTAGCAAAACTGGAATCAGTGGGTATCAGGCGGCAAACTCTCCGTTGGTTAGAATCATACCTGACACAAAGTAAGGTGGTTGTGGTTGTTGGAGGTCAGTCATCTCAGCTTCAGGACATCTCTGGGTAGGCTCAGGGTAGTGTGTGAGTGTGTGTGTGTGTGTGTCCGTGTCCCTTTGCAGGTCAGAAGTGGGGATGTTTGCCTATGATTGTGATATGTTCAGCACCATTCTTGATTCCTCGGATACTGAAGCAGTCCATGTCAAACCTAGATATTGCATTTGAACAAATCGTAACTAACATTTGTGCCACACAAATGCCAGGCTATCACCATCACCAGCAAGAGACAATCTACTACCACTCCTTGACATTCAATGGTGTTACCATCACTGAAACCCCCACTGCCAACATCCTGGGAGTTATCGTTGATCAGGAACTCAACTGGATTCACCACATTAAACACGAGGGCTACAAGAGCAGGCCAGAAGCTAGGAATACTGCGGCACGTAACTCATCTCCTGACTCCCCAAAGCCTGTCCACCATCTACAAGGCACAAGTCAGGAGTGTGATGGAATACTCCCCGCTTGCCTGGATGAGTGCAGTCCCAACAACACTCAAGAAGCTTGACACCATCCAGGATAAAGCAGCCCGCTTGATTGGCACTACATGCACTCCCTCCTCCACTGCTGCTCAGTAGCAGCAATGTGTACTATCTACAAGATGCACTGCAAAATTCACCAAAGACACCTAGACAGTACCTTCCAAACCCATGACCACTTCCGAAGGACAAGGGCTACAGATATATGGGAACATCATCACCTTCAAATTCCCCTCCAAGCCACTCACCATCCGGACTTGGAAGTAATTTGCTGTTCCATCGCTGTCGCTGGGTCAAAGTCCTGGAATTCCCCCTCTAATGACATTGTGGGTTAACCGACAGCAGGTGGACTGCAGCGGTTCAACAAGGTAGCTCACCACCACCTTCTCAAGGGCAACTAGGGATTGGCAAAACTTGTTGGCCAGCCGGCTACACCCACATCCCACAAATGAATTTTTTTTTAAATTCCTTTTATATCAAAATGCTGCAAAGCATGTTGCATGAGCAAATTGTCTTTGATGTGCACTGTCAGTAGGCAGACTATAATACTAAAATCCAGAATATTTTGTTCACCCATTGCAGACCGAGAACAGTCCATGTAATGTACTTGTCCTGTTAGTTTTGAGTTGTTTGATGTGTAAATTTGTCAACTTTTACCTACACCAGCCATCCTCCTTGCCTCCTTGTCAATTGCTGTAGATTTGTTACTTTCTAAAAGCTTCATGGCCACTAAGAATTGTTTGAGATGACCAGCTTTATTGCTGGCTAGAACTGTCAGAGGGCAAGCGATGTGCATTCCACCAGTTTTTGGACTTGAATGCAAGTTCAACATCTGTGTGGAACCTGTTATAAATTACTGTCACCTATTTTTCTGTTCCTAAAACACTAAAACTACACCATTCACTTTGAGGTCAGTGAACCAAGTGATCTTGTTGTAGTTTTGCTTTTCTTTTTGAAGCCACATAAACTCAAGTCACTTTTTTCCTAACAAATTAAACTAATACTAATCAAATAGATGGTGACTTCCATGGTTTCTTCTGTTTTTCTTTAAGCTGTTCACTAACTACAGGATTGCTGAATGTTTGTTTTTCTTTCTCCTCCACAGCATGACACTGCCCCTTAATCCAGAGATACCGAAGGTGTTTGCAGCATTGCCTGAATTCTATTTAGAAGATATTGCAGAATTTTTGCTGTTTATTGTACAGTAAGTAAATGTAATTTCAACAGGAGTAATGATATGGTGTTAATCCCTTGGTGATATGTAATCACCAGGGCGCTGATCAAAACAAGCTGTCTTTTATGCAAGGTTGGTAAACTTAAAAATACAAAGCACTACCACTGATCTAGGAGAATTTGGCCCTACAGTGTTCTCAACTAACCTAAGTTTGTATGATTCTCTGTACAAGTCAAAGTCTTCAATTTAGTACATATTGTTGTCAAAAGTAATTTTTTTTGAAGGTGGAAGAAATGCCAGTTACTTAAAGCATTTTTTTCAGATTTTGATAGTCTAAACTGTTCACCAGGTTACGAGAAGAACTATCTTCAAATTGACTTAAGGGTCTTCCGATTCTCTCAATTTGCCAACAGAGTGCTGGAGTTGTAATCTTAATGGGACAAAGCTGCTTACACATGCTTCCATTTAGAAGCTAAGCATTGTAATTGTGTTTCCCCACCCACTTACACTCAAGCTGCGCTGTTTGAGTTCATTTAGGGGTAGTAAATGCTATTGTTCAGTTAATTTTTTTTGAGGATTTATCTAAATCGCATACACCATTGAGAAATATGTCAAGTCAGGATTTCATCCTGTGGAACTCCTTAATATAACCCTAATATTTTCCCTATCAATGACACAGAAAATGTTTGAAAGTATATGTCTTTGTTGAATAGTAACTGTAACCGACACAAGTATGATCAATTTGTTTTAAAGCATAATGTAACTTATTTTGTTCTGTCTGTATACTGTAACTAATCGAAGTTTGGACATCCTCCAGCCAATATTATTTCTGGCCACTCTCAAATTGCCTGGGGCTCTGTGGCTTATTGTGCTTGCTGTATCCTGGTAAATCCAGCACATGATAGTGTTCTATCTAGAACTGTCTTCACTTGTTTGGTTGACTATCATGCAACAAAACACATAACCCCACTGAAGCAGAGATAGTAGGAACTGCAGATGCTGGAGAATCTGAGATAACAAGGTGTAGATCTGGATGAACACAGCAGGCCAAGCAGCATCATAGGAGCAGGAAGGCTGACGTTTCGGGCCTAAACCCTTCATCAGAAAATCCCACTGAAGCATTGGGTTATATCTGCTTTATTGGTGTTGTTGACTTTTCAGGGAGACAAGTGACCATGAACATCAGTGGTATAAGCATCTTTTCTCTACTTCATTTACTGAATGCTTCTCTTATGCTGAGTAACAAAAAGGTTAATTTAAAACTTTCCTGTGACATGATATTATCGAAACATGTAAAATCCTGAGATGACTTGACAAGGTGGTTGTTGAAAGGATAATTGTTTTATTAGAAGAGACCTTCCTTGTTGTATTTATCTGTAGTCAGAACTCCTTTTCTGACGAAGGATGCTTTTGCTTTTGAGGGAGTGCAGTGAAGGTTTACCAGACTGATGCCAAGGATGGCAGGACTGACGTATGAGGTGAGATTGACTAGGTTAGGATTGTTTTTGCTGGAGGTCAGACGAATGAGGTGCGGGGGATTCTCGGAGACTGAGAAAATTCTAACAGGACTGGACAGGGTAGATGCAAGGAGGATGTTCTTGACGGTGGGTGTGTCCAGAACCAGGAGTCACAGCATGAGGATTCGGGGTACACCATTTAGGACGGAGATGAGTAGTCATTTCTTCACCCGAAAGTGGTGAGCATGTGGAATTCATTACCACAAGAAGTAGTTAATGCCAAAATATTGAATGTATCCAAGAGAAGGTGAGTGGGATCAAAGGTTATTGGGAGAAAGTCGGATTGGGCTATTGAGTTGGATGATCAACTGTGATCGTGATGAAAGGTTTGAATGGCCGCCTCCTGTGCTTATCTTCTATTTTTCTAAGGGGACACAGTTTAAAGATAAAGGGTCTGCTGTTTAATACTGAAATTAGAAGAATTTTATTTGTAGGTTTGGGAGTCTTTGGAACTTTTTTTTTCTCCAGATAGTGGTAGAGGTCGAGTCATTGAGCGCTTTTAAGGGAGAGGTAGATTCTTTACATTCCCACTTACATCCAAAAATTGACTCCCTTGTTAGTAGAGTTACAGCTGCAGTCATATCACCCATGATCTTATTGAGTAGTGGAGCAGGCCAGACAGGCTGAATGGCCTACTCCACATAATATATTTGCATTTACTGGTAACATTGTGCCTCTGTCAAATAATATTAAATCGCTGGTTGTCAACTGTTTGTGAAAACATTGTATGTGCCAGCTTTTACAATTGATGGCTCTTTCTTGCAATTTATTTTTCACTTATTCTTCTGCAGATATTCCCCTCAGGTTTTGTATGAACCTTGTACTCAGGACGTTGTGACCTTCCTTGTTGTATTTATCTGTAGTCAGAACTATATCCGAAATCCTTACTTGATTGCCAAGTTGGTAGAAGTCATGTTTGTGACAAATCCAGCAGTTCAGCCTCGAACACAGAAATTCTATGAGATAATGGAGAATCATCCATTGGCTACTAAACAACTTGTGCCTGCATTAATGAAATTTTACACTGGTATGTTGTTTGTCCTATTTATTACCTAAGTTAACTTGGAAATCATATAATCACTTGATGTACAATGGGCTTACTTTAACTCACCTGGATAAAGGAGCTAAGAATGGGTCACATGAGTTACATGGGAAACTCCTGTAAAGTACTTTCTCAAGAAATTTAGTCTCATGTTTCCTAAATTCTCATTGTTTTGTTTATTGAGGAAACAGAATCATTAGTGGTAGATCAGCAATAAACATACTAGACAGCATTTCACTCCGGGATGGGTTGATTAGACTTTTTTCAATTTACTAAAAGACTAAAGAACTCAACGCTTCCTCAAGTATAGTTAATTCTTTCATGATGAGAAATCAAACACTGAAGCCAATGATTAATATCTGACTTTGTATTGGAAAATTAATGGAGAACACCAACTTTGTGAAAGGACTGATCCTATTACAAAATAATTGAATGTTTGTTCTGATTTTCTTAAAAAAAAACCTGTCTCCATTCCTTTTGAGGCATGAACTCCTGCTGTGATCTGGTTCCTCAGGTGCTGATTACCCTCTGGTATCTCAACAAGTACTCATTCTTAGTGAATGCAGGTGCTGTGTTGTGGGTCTATTTGACTGTTAGGGGCATCTATGCCCACACAATATTTGTACATTAGCACCCTACTTGGGTTGAGTGGAGAATAAACAATGAAGTTGCCAGAGTCCCACCAGACAATACAGACTGTTCTGCCATTAGAGAGAGATGACTGATATGTTTTGGGTGAGGGGAGAGGTTGAGAAATCTTCATGGTAGCCTCAGCCAGGATGGGAATTGAACCCACACTGTTGGCTTCACTGTGCATCTCAAACCAGCTGACCAATTGAGCTGAACTGACCCTTTTTTTGTAGGGAGCAGAGTCTGGTTATAATATCACAGTATTATAACAATGCATCATATCAGCAGGTGCCAAGAATTGTTCGAATAGTTATTTTCAAATCTTCGTTTAGTTTGCACTTCATTTTCAGTGCATGTGTTTAAATTATATGGAAAAATTGATGTTTATCTTCATTGTCAGAAGTTATCCCAACTTAATATATGGAAGGTAGTACAGCGTCTTAGCTTTTACATTTTTGGAAATTAATTTTTTTTCTTTGGATCTTTGTAAACTAATAACCTGATTAAAATGAGTGTGACTGGTGATCTTTTGCTAGGGCTGTGTTAATAACATACTAGTGTTATAGTGTTGCTGAAGCAGATAGTATCAAACCTGATGTATTACACTGATCTTCAGTATTTTGGAAACAACAGCAAAGGGTGTTAATTTGTTTCTCAGATGTTGAACATACTGGAGCAACCAGTGAATTCTATGACAAGTTCACTATCCGTTACCACATCAGCACAATCTTTAAGAGCCTTTGGCAGAATGTGGCACATCAAGGTACCTTCATGGAAGAGTTTAAGTAAGTTGATGCAATCCAACTTCCTCTTTTATCAAAAAAGAAAGGACTGGTTTTGTGTGTGATGATATGTTAGTGTGAGATTGATGAGAAGACTATAATTACAACATTTTAAAAGGCATGTGGATGGCTACATGAATAGGAAGGGTTCAGAGGGATTAGGCCAAATGCTGGCAAATGGAACTAGATTAATTGACGATATCTGGTCGGCACGAACAAGTTGGACCGAAGGGTCTGTTTCTGTGCTGTACATCTCTTTTGACTCTATAACCTGAAGAACTATGGATTCATTGTAACCACCGAGTACCATGTGTATAGACAGTTATTTGTGGTTTTGTTCCCAAAACCTGATTAGATTTATGAAGTTTTTCTGCTTGCTGTTTTGTAGCCTGCTTTATACCGCATGTATTTTATATTTGCAGTTCGGGAAAGCAATTTGTTCGTTACATCAATATGCTCATAAATGACACCACCTATTTGCTGGATGAAAGTCTAGATTCTCTCAAACGCATCCATGAGGTACAAGAAGAAATGAAGAACAAGGAGCGCTGGGACTCATTGCCCAGGGTGAGTTTGCATCCCAATGTGTGTTTGTTCTTATTACTATGAATAAGTACTAGTACAGGATCTAGTCTGATGGCCAGAGAAAGATGAGACAAAAACCATCTCTAATTCCAGGATGCTTAAAAGCAGCATCTTGAAATTCAAGAACAAGGGATCATGCTATATTTGCACAACTGGTTGCCCATTATTTGTGAAACTGTATCCAACTAACAAACTTGTTTTTGTTTGTCGAGAACCAAAAAATACTTAGGTGATAAAATGTCCCTAAAGACAAATTGTTTCCAAAGTAATCACTGCAGATAAAAACTTAAACTTTCAAATGTTTTTGAGAGCAAAACTAGAATTTTGCTCCTTTTTAGGATTGTTATATGGAAAAAGGAATCTGCAGAGTCAGTGCACTAAATGGCCAGCGTTTGGGCTGTTTGTTTGATTCTCCTTCCTTATCATTCCACTGTTGGTCTGCGTGACTTTTTTTTAAACTAGGAGTTAATAATCTGCTGTCATTTTATTTTTAATTTTTATGAAGAACTATGAGCAAATACTATTTTGAAATGGCAACATTCATCTTGCATTTTTAAAATGTAGATTATATACTGGAATAAAACAAATTCCACAGTTTAATGGACTTCTCGAATTATTCACGGTTTTTGTTTTCAAAGGATCAGCAACAAAGTCGGCAATCACAGCTGACACAGGATGAACGTGTCTCCCGCTCATACCTTGCTCTTGGGGCGGAAACAGTGGATATGTTCCATTATCTCACCAAACAAGTGCAAAAACCTTTCCTAAGACCTGTGAGTACATTATCTAGTGATTTGTTCCACCTTTTAATCTGCCAATGCTCATAGATATAAAGACCATTTTGCATGTTCGTTATGTCTCCCTTTTGAGTAGTAGTGTGAGATTTACTTTGCTTCAGGCAAGCTATTGTCCAGTGTGTGAAACTCCGTTGTTGTGTGTGTGAAAGAACTTCAGGCACTTTTAATTTGCTAGATGCTGAGCGTGATCATTCAGATTTGAAAAGAAGATGCATGGGGAAATAGAATGGATATCTTGAGATTGCTCTCAACCCCATCATAATTGCTTTCCTGCTTGACCAAAGATTGACGTTGTAAACTAGTTTTACTAGATCTGTTCTCTGAAGGATAAAATAATGAAGGTTACATGATCAAGGTAGCAAGGACGTTTGTATTTAGGAGTGAAAAGAGACGACTATCTTAACCAGGATCTTTTTTTGTGCACGCTAATAACTGAAATATACCTATTATAGGTGCTCACCAGTACTAGCTCTTTCTTTTTTTTTTCTTTTGTTCATTGTTTCGCTTGCTTTTGGCAGGGAGTTTAAGATATACAGAAAATTGTTTGAATGTTGATAAAAAGACCTAATTGGAATCTCTACATTAACTTTTACAGATCAGTATTTCAGGAGCAAGCCGCTTAATTTTTCCTTGTTTATTGCAGGAACTTGGCCCACGCCTAGCTGCCATGTTAAATTTTAACCTGCAGCAACTGTGTGGACCTAAATGTCGTGATCTAAAGGTAGAGAATCCAGAGAAATATGGTTTTGAACCAAAGAAGCTTTTGGATCAGCTGACAGATATTTACCTGCATTTAGACTGCCCCCGGTTTGCAAAAGCCATTGCTGATGATCAGGTTTGTGTACATCATTTCTAAATGCTTTCTTTTTGCCCATTTTACATCTATTTTTAAGAATAACTTCTAACAAAGCACATGTTTGCAACTTCTGAAGGGAAGGAATTTGCAGCTGCAGCACCAACCCTGGGTAAATTGGTCAGGTCAATGACCAATTTTTAAGTTGACCATCAGAGGAAAAGCCTGCTGACTTACAGCATGTGCCTCCTCCTGGTCTCAGACATTTAGCATTCACGTTCAACCCTGCAGAGGGTTCTTTAGATCTCGTGTACACCACCTAAGAGCGTGGTAGAATCCGATTCCTTGGAATCTTTCAGAAGACAATTGGATGTGGCATTGAAGCGGACTGATTTACAAGATTGTTTGATGATCTTCACTTTGGCTGTAAGAATAGAAAAACCGAATACCTTTTAAGAGTACTTACTGATTGCAAAGAGACCTGCTGTGCTTGTACAGGAGTGCAGAGATTTGGCATGGAGATACAGTAAGCAATTAGGCATTTGCCTTTCCTGCAAAGGGATTGAAATACTAATATAAAGAAATCTTGCTACGATTGTGCAGGCACAGGTGAGTTCACACCTGGACTATTGTGTGCCAGTTTGGTCCCCGTATTTAAGTAGTACATCTTCACTTTGGCAGAACAGCAAAGCTTCACTCTAGATTGTCCCCTTGCATGCAAAGGTTGTCTTATGATGAGAGTCTAAGTAAATTGGTTCTATATTTTTTGGAATTTAGAAGAATGAGTGTTGACCTGAGTGAAACCTGTTTCTGAAGGGGCTGAACAGGGTAGATACTGAGAGGTTTCTTCAGCTGGTCAGGGAATTTTAAATTTTCCACCACTGTCTCAAAGACTGAGGTTAAGAAGTTCTTAACTCAAACAGGTTGAGAGTCTTTAGAATTATCCATCCCAGAGTATTTGTGAATGCTTCATTGTTGAAAGTATTCAAGGCTGAGATGGACAGATTTCTGGTGTCTCTGGGAAATTGAAGCTCAAGATCAGTAAAGGTGGTAAAGCAAGTTTGACAGGCTGTGTACAGACTACTTGTGCTCCTTGTTTCCTCCTTGGAGGAAGGTGCGGATCAGGACTAAATTGGACAACTGTTTCAAAGAGTTGTAAAAGTTAAATGGCTTCCTCCTGTGTTATAAGATTTTGTGCTTCTATCACTCACTTTCCTTCCAATGAAACAACAGCTGTTCCTACCCTACATAAACTGACACTGATGATGTAGCCAACAACTTGGCAAACTACTGTTTGATTATAAGTTGTTAGTCATTGATTTTTGCTTCTCATTTTAAATGTTAATGTTGTAGGTTATGTGGAGGGCAGTCAGAAAGTAACAAGCTGTCAGAAGTATATTTTGCATTTTGGGCATAGACAAGATTAGTACTTTCAAACCATCTACACCCCTTGCACACCTTCAGCCCCAATGCGCACTCCTGCTATGTGCATCATGAGCTGCTTCCTAGAAAATGGTTACGCACCCAATCCTTTGGTGCACTGCTAATGCTAAGAAACTCAATAGAAAGTGTGCAGATGGATAGAAGCATAGAATCCCTACAGTGCAGAAAGAGCCCATTTGGCCTATTGAGACTGCACCAACCCTCGCGCATCCCACCCAGACTCACCCCATCCCCAAGACCCATGGCATTTACCATGGCTAGCCTCCACATCCCTGGACACTGGCCAATTTAGCATGGCCAATCCATCTAACCTGCACATCTTTGGACTGTGGGAGGAAACTGGAGCACCCAGCAAAAACCCATGAGGACATGGAGAATGTGCACACTCCACACAGATAATTGACCGAGGCTCGAATCAAACCTGGGACCCTGATGCTGTGAGGCAGCAGTGCTAACCACTGTGCCACGGTGCTGCCCACAACCTGGAATTAACCGCTCTTTTCTAACGTGGTCCGTGCTCATTCTGACAACACTAAATTACTGAGTATAAGTTTGCATTCTGCTACCTGTTGGTCACCACTTTGTCCTTTAACAAAATGGGTCTCCAGACCTTGGGTGAGCACTTGAAGTGTCATAATGTTTTTAAGGCAGTGGGATTAGTATAGATAGTGTATCTTTTCTTCCCTGCTTGTTGGGCCATTAGGCCTCTTCTGTAATAGTAATCTCTAAATCCATTTATTAACGATTACTGGTTCATAGATGTTTTCTGCCATTTTTTTCATATCCTGATACCTTTTTCTTTTGGACCAGCGATCATACAGTAAAGAATTATTTGATGAGGTGATTTCAAAAATGAGGAAAGCGGGAATTAAATCGACAATAGCTATTGAAAAATTCAGACTTCTGGCAGAAAAAGTGGAAGAAATAGTTACAAAGAATGCCCGTGCAGAAATTGATTATGGAGATGCACCAGATGAATTCAGAGGTAAACTAATTTGGAAAAATTCTTATGCCAAATTAGAATGGAAAATTTTTTGGTGAGTCTCTGCAGAACCTTGTAAAATGCTCTCAATTTGTGTCAATTCTGGTATGTTATAATCTGATGATCATTTATTCATGCTGATGAAGCATTTGTTTTGAATATCTTTTCCTTTAAGATAGCAAATTTTAAAAAATTAAAAACCTATCACAGACTGGCAAGATTCCTTTTAAAACTTTTATTTCTGACAATTTTATACTTTAGTTGGTAGCTGATTCGGAATGAAGGGTAACTGGAGGTGACTTACCTGACATAATAAATGGCAGTTAGTGAGCAGTACTGTTACAAATTCATTCATATACATTAAAGTTCCTGGACCAAAACTTACAAGACTAACTAAATTACACTAACTGCTTTGCAACATGCTGTAATTAGCACATTTTTCCAATGTTATGAAAGAATGGTCTGTTATGTACTGTGGCAACCTTTAGTAATAAAGTCTCTAGTAGCACCCATTTCTTACAGTTTGAGTTATTGTTGCAGCCCACTGAGTTAATTTGTTATGATTAGCAATCTCATCTCTGGGTGACGTCAAGTTATCTGTGGATGCCACACCAGGATATTAGCACTGAAACTGTGGTGAAAAAGTCAGTGACTGCTACATTATTCCATCACGTGTTAAACTGTATTTAGCATCTGCCTCTGTTTTATGATCAGACCCTGTTGTTACATCATTATTTTTAGGGGACAGACCTTATTTGAAATTTTAACAATTTGCAGAGATTTAAGGTTTTGGGCAAGAGATACAGTAAATATATGAAGACAAACTTATTTGTACAGTGAGTGGTAATGACTTGAAACTTATTGCCGATGAGGGTGCTGGTAGAGAAATAATCGATGACATGAAGGGAAATTGCACACTTGAAGGAAATAGCTAAACCTGCACAGATATGGGGAATTGATTGGGAAAGTGGAACTGACTGAATTGCTGTTGACAGCTGGCATGGGTTTGATGGGCCTGATGGCCGCCTCCTGAACCATAAATGACTTTTTTTTTCAAGAGAGATTCTAAAGCAATGCTGTGTAACAGTTCGTGGAATTGACACAAGCAGTTGATGTTGACTTGCTGCTGGGTTGATGACTGTATGAGGACGAATTGTACTTCATTCCCAACACTGAACATTACAAATTCAAATCTTCTTTTTCAACCACCACAGATCAAGTATAAATTTACCTTTGAAGTATCAAAATCTTTACAAAAACAAGGGTCTAATTACACTGGCAATTGCATTTTACATTTAGTGTATAAGTGCCACTTTGAAATGTAAAACTAAAACAATAATTCACATTAAATCAATGCGATGTGGTTCATTTAATGGAATTATTTCTACGAAGGTTACCTTTAACTCTTAAAATGTGTTATAAACAGTCAAATTCATTGCCTTTGGTATCTGATGCAAAGTAATTTTGTCACCAGGCCTTTTGGTAGTTTCAGCATCTTATCTGGTTTTAGCATCTCCTCCCTGCGCTTAAAATCTATGCATTGACTAATAAAGGCAAGTACACCATATCCTGCCAGAATCACATTTTTGACCTGTCCTGATACCCTGAGGGACCAGTATACATGAACACCAAGGTCCCTCTGATCTTTGATACTTCCCAGAATCCTATTGCTCATCATGTACTTCTTTGTCTTGTTTGTCTTGCCCAAGTGCATCGCCTACATCTTGGCTAAATTGAGTTCTATTTGCCATTGATCAGCCCATCTATATCCTCCTGTAATTAAAGGTTACCCTCCTCACTATTTATCACTCAACCAATTTTTGTATTATCTGCAAACTTACTGCTGGTGAAAAAATGAGATTTGACTTGTATCCTGTGGTGTACAGTAAGGGTTGAATTACTCTTTAGATTTTACTAGTAGTAAAATTAATAATGTTGTAGGAACAGGAGTAAACCATTCTAGATCACAACATCATCCCAATACCATCTTCCCAGACTATTTCCATATTTCTTACTGTCATTAGTCTCTAGGAATTTATTGGTTTCTGACTTGAACATGCTCAATGATTGAGCTTCTGTTTTCCTGGGGTAGCAAATTCCAAAGTTTCATCACCTATGTGAAGAAATTCCTCCTTACCTTAGTCTAAATGGCCTATCCTTATCCTATGATTACTTTCTTTCCTAGTTCTCAACTCACCAACCAGGGTAAACAATTTACCTATATCCACCACCCTGTTTCACCTTGTAAAAATTTGGAAGTTTTAATGAGATCATCTTACATTCTTCAAAACCATGGAGTCAGAACTTGACTAAATGGATGGAACAAAAATGCACAAAAGTTGAAAAGCCAGCAAAAACAAATGAAAACTAGGCAAGGTCTGTAACAGCCTGATTTCTGACCAGCCTATATGAGATGGCAAGTAAACTGGAGCTAGTGATTTTTCACAGCCTCCTCTGTAAGCAGCAATACTGCTGGCAGCTGATGCCACTGTCCATGAATACATTGTATTCTGCTGTTTCCAACTGGCTGCTTTATCGCTGTTGTCTGTCATTGCTTTCCTGCTGCTAGTATTGTGGAATCTCCCTGTATTTTTAATAGGGCTTACTCCACCGCGCATTCTGAGCTGCTTCAAATAGAAAATCATACCAGCAGAGTTCAGAGTGTCTAATTAGATAAATTTTGATTACAATGTTGTGATAGCTATTAGAGTTGCTGAATTAAAAGACCTCTGTTACAGATCCTTTGATGGATACTCTGATGAATGATCCTGTGAAACTACCCTCTGGGACCATAATGGACCGTTCCATTATTTTAAGACACTTGCTGAATTCACCAACAGATCCATTTAACCGTCAACACCTGACAGAAAATATGTTGGAGCCAGGTAATGAATGTTACTTTAAACCCGTATAAACTTTTATTGCACTAGTTAATGGTTTCTTCCAGTGGTAAACCAGGCAAAGGCATTGCCCAGTATGCTGACTTCTATAGACCAGGAAAGCTCTAGGTTTAGTCTGGGTGTCGGTAGGAATAGACTGTAGTTATGCTTAGTGTGTTCACACACATTATAGAGGTCAGGCATTTGGAAGATATACCAGAAGGCTTTGGTCATCTGGAAAAAAATTGTACCCCAGCATAAGTCACATTATTTAAATCAAGTGCAGCACTTCTCACTTTGCAACTAACTGGCAGGGTAGCAGCTTACACTGACTCACCATTGCCATTTTGCCTGATCTTAGCTGTTAGGTATGTTGCAAAAACCAGAGATAAAAGAAAAGTCGTTATCTCTTCCCAACAAACTTCCAACGAAGCAAAGCCTATCCATCTCCCCATAAGATTCAGTAACATGGCCATCATAAATCCTCGACTGTCACCATTCACCAACTCAACTGGACCAGCCACATGCATTCTCCAGTTTTGACCTGTCCTGATACCCTGAGGGACCAGTATACATGAACACCAAGGTCCCTCTGATGTTTGATACTTCCCAGAATCCTATTGCTCATCATGTACTTCTTTGTCTTGTTTGTCTTGCCCAAGTGCATCGCCTACATCTTGGCTAAATTGAGTTCTATTTGCCATTGATCAGCCCATCTATATCCATGTTCCACCTATAAGTCAGGAGTGTGATGGAATACATTTAAATGCAATGGAGGAAGCTCCTTTCTAAATTAGTTCCATTCAGTTCTTAGTTTGTGTTATTTTCTATATTGCAGTGCCTGAACTGAAGGAAAAGATCCATGCCTGGATGAAAGAGAAGCAACATGCAAATCGTTCTTCACAGTGAAGTGTTACTCATGTGGGATACAATGAGAAAAGATGTGTAGTTGTGAACTTAGACCACCAGATTATTAAGACCCAAAAGCAAATCTGCTCAACACTGAGGCTCTGCAGGCTACGTCTGCTGCACTGATATTAAAAAGGGTGAACTGAACACATTAGAAAAATGTTATGTCTCTGTAAATAAATCTAATTTAAAGAACAAAAATAGTTAAAAGGAGAAAAGTTCAGAGGTGTTGGGTACAATTTAGAATACCTTTTTCAGTACAGCTACACGTGACCAATTGCCTTGCGGCAATTTTGAAACAAAAACGGTCTGAGCAAACAATGGTTTTTAAAATGACTGTGTATTAACAGAAGATGGCTGTATTTTAGGTTGACGTTATTACTGTATCTTGCGACCAGTCGCTGCTAAAGGGACTGTTTTGTTTGCTGCACTAAATGTTTCTCAAAACCAAAGTAATGCACAGGCCCTTTCCCTAAAACCTGATGTTTTAATTATGAGGCATAATCAGTTGGCTCACAGGATTAATGGTGAGACTGCTGAATTCTATTTGTTTACCATTAACTTATATTTTTGTCTCTCGATTTTTCTCCCCCTCCCCACCCCCCTGACACCAATGCATAGGCTTTTGTGCAAATTCTGTAGCAAGCAAGTGAGGTTATGGATTTCCTCCATTTCTGCTGAACCATGTTCTATGACCATCATTTTTTCCACAGTCTGATCTGCATTATTGGAATATTTTGATTGCAATAAGGCTTTTTTTAAAAGAGGGATTTTCTCCAAGAAAGTACTTCAGTCCAGCTGCTGTTGGATTGCCTTCCTCTCTGAGGACCTTTTACTGCTACAGCACACTAGAGGGCACTCTTGTTCGCCAGGAGTTCCTTCAGCCTTATATCAATGTGTTTTAACTAGTATATAGTTGGTGCCACTTCAGTGACTACCTGATAAGTGAATAAAAATGAAAACTCCAAATTCTTTTTTTTTCTATCAGCCCTGTTGTATTCACTTCTTCTGTTACATTAATTTGAGCTTTTAATTCTTTGTAAGTTGACTACATTTTCTACATTCTGTGTAATTTGCTGCGAAGCTTGTTATTTCAACAGTCCTGAATTGCAGCAAGTTGAAGTAATGTGAAGTTACTTTGCATTATGGAAAATCTTCTTTGCAAATTAAATAAAGTATGCAAGAAAAATCCCAAATTACAAATGATTTCCAGATAACTGAGTTGCTCACAGTTCCACAAAAACGCTTCGACTGAAGAGTTGACTCTGCTGCCATTTCTGCATCTGACAGTTTAGAAATCATCTGGTATCACTGGAATATCTTGATGTTCTTTTAAACTGCTGCACTGTGACATCTGCAATTCTGCATGGATCCAGTTACCGTAACAAAACGCGACTAGCCACCATTTCCCTTCAGTGCAACAACATCTGTGTTAACAGGGCAAGGAAATCCAGTTATCAGGTTCGAGTATGTGGGCATGTTGCTGCACTTGTATAGTGACCAGTGTTGTGCTGCTGTACATCAATTGCAAGCCTTTGCTATAACTGTGAATAATGAGTGCTCTGCTGCATAACACCTTTAGTCTCGAAATTGTAATTGTCTAGCTTAATTCTTTTTTGCAGTGAAGTCTGTAAATATGCAAAATCATTACAGAAACAGCAATAAGTGGAGGCTGCAGTACAAAATGCTGTCAAAGGAAATTAGAATTTTATTATAACTTTATGCAGATTGTCCAGAACCTGCTCTTATCCCTACCATTCTTAGCACGTTCGGTACTTCTGTTCCGACAAATTTTCCATTCAAGGTCATCCATTTCATTTTAGTTGCCTGCAGATTGATTCTTCAAATTCATGTGTCACATCTGCTGAGCATAAATTTTTCTGGCAAATATTTTACAATGCTCATAGATTTCAAATCTGTTTTTACACTTTTCAAATTGTACTGATTCTTAACTGTAGTGGTATGTTCTTATGCAATGTACTTTGGCTATCTTCCTCTTTGTTACTCAAGGGTTAATTGAGGAAGTGTTCAAATTGCTGGCTGTAAAATTGGATGATTTTCATTGCAAAACTCCAACAAGCATATGTCTAACATATGACAGTCCACTTAATCCTGTGCAAGCAATTTTAGGATTCTGACCCCATTTCTGTACTTAACATCTGTGTACTTCTGCCCTAATTCTAGATTAAATAAATACTGTCAGATCAAAAGCTGGTCATTTACATCTCACCGTTATATAAATTAACATCTGTTGATAGTTCTGTGCAAAATTTGAAAATGTATACTAAATCTGTTGCAAGTCTATAAAATATCTTGAAAGAAAACCTGGAATTCAGCAATCAAAGTGTAAAATGGTAGAAATGCACAGTCAGCTCAGCGATGTTAGTAAAGAGAAGAGACAGGCCAATATTTGAGGTGTCCATCCTGTTAACGTATCCGGGGATTTGAACCTGCCTTGTCTCTAAATCCTGCCTGGCCAGCTGTGCGTTTCTACCCCTTTATATTGTTTTGAGATGCCTAAATTTAGTTTTGACAATTGCAGAATATAAATCCAGCTTCATAAAGGACTAATCCAATCGGCATTAATGACCCTTTTTGAATTGTTAAACTGGTATTCTAGCTGTTTTAGTAGAGTGTCTTGCCCCACGTGTTGCAAATAGCAGTTCAAGAAAGAAACAGCACGCTGTCCTGGATAGAGCTTTCACACATCATGTCAGCTATGGCTCAGGGTAGCACATTCGCCACTGAGTCAGATGATTGTGAGTTCAAGTCACTATTCAGAGACTTAAGCCCAACAATTGCAGGTCAGCAGAGGTGTTGCCCTTTGTATATGATATTGAACTGACTTTATAAAGTGCCCAAAACTTGGAATATAAAGGATGAATTTTTAACTAGCTACTGGACTTGTCCCTGCCCCTGTCCCAGCAATTAGAATATTTAAACATAAAATGCTTTTGCTAAAGGGTGTATGTTTTCTACAGCAGCAGTGTTACACACATTAGGACTAGATTATTAAACAAAAAAAATTTAGTCTAAATATTTTAATAAGTGAATCTTGTGCATTTTTTCATTTGTCCTTTTCAGAATCACCTGTTTAATCTTTTGAGCCAAAATTTGTTGGCGTGGCCAGATGTTGGATTTTGTTTACTCTTTAAATGGGAAGGAAGCTGTGCAGATAAAGAACATCTAAGGTGCCTCTGTGCAAGTTATATAGCCCGATCTTAAAACTGCTACTGATTTATAATGTAGTTAATAGTAATATGTGAGGCAAAGTCTGTCCTTGTCCAGTTCAGACATGTTACATGCACAACAGTCTGTTGTTAATTTTACCTAAACTTGGAAATTCATTTTTGTTAATTTTGTAAAATTTTGAGGTGACCTGCTGAGGAAATAGATGACCTTTTCTAATCCAGAACCTTTCTCAAAACAAAGCAATTCAAAGTTATGACTACCCATAATGTCCCAACCATTCAGAATTAACATTTTGGCCAAATGTGGACATTCATGGATTTCTAACTGCTACTTTGTTCAGTTTCCCCCTTTAAATTCAAGATCTTAATTATTTTAGAAATTGTGACGCTGTAGTTGCATAAAAGACGATTGAGACCATCCTGGACTAGAAAGAATTAAAATTTGTTTAAGATTGTCAGCTATGTTGTATAAGGTAATGTGCACTCCTTCAGCCAACTAAAATGATACCATGATATTGTGATTTGTATTTACCTATCCTTCATACCCCAGTATTGTTAAACTGGAAATTCTAGTTCTGCAGCAAGTAAACGAGGAAATTTAACAGCTACATTGTCCAGTTAGAATTTGCATTTTTTGGTAATGTCATTCTGCCCCTTACTATAGGCACTTGAATTTCTGGTTTATTTCTTATTTTAAAAAGCTGGAAGTTTTCTTTGTTTTCTAATAAACGCTGTCATTATCAGAGAACTGTTTTTAATGATAAACCTGCTCAGAATGGTAATTCCTATAGACTTCTGATTGCTTCCAACCTTTGAATTCCAATAAATGGTGGTATACATTTCAAATACAAAATGGTATCATTGTCTTCTACTGAGTTGGAGACTGTTCATTCTGTTTTTGAAGCCAAATATATTTGCATTTTAGTGACTCTGAACTGGATTCCATGCAGTCATCTGTTCTGTATAATTCTTTGCTTGTCTGTGTTTTCATTGTTCTGTAGACTGCACGTGATACTATATTTCTTCCTGAGCTGTGAGCAACTTGCACACCACATTCATGTCTCATTTTAGAACAGTTGTAGAATTTATTAGATTTCACCTTCCTCTTCAAACTTCTGTTTCAAGGTTTGATCTAACTTGAGCTATGGCAGGCAAAGAATGACCAAAGTTGTACGTATGCGACTGATTCTTCTGCGTTACTTAGTACTAAAATAAAAGATGCAGTAACTGTTGCCCACCTCTCTCCTCACAAGTCTGTGACAGGGATGAGTAATTCCTTCATTATTTAAAATTGAATGTTCTACAGATGTTATTATGTATGAATATTGACTAGGTAAGCTTTAAATGGACAAAAATGGTGTGTCGTGCACATTGGAATCCAAAGGTTCCAAATGTTACTTTGAATGTACCTGTTAACCAACCAGATTAACTTCTGCGCACAAGCTTCCAGCCATCAACTGAAAACAGTTGAGGTAGCTGGGTGGAATTATTGAGAATTCTCTGTTAAGCCAGTTGAATTATAAGTGATTGCAGTAAGCATATCAGTTACTTGTGTTAGGATTCTTATGGTGCAGTGGTGTTGTCCCTACCTCTAGGCTAGAAGGTCCAGGTTCAAGTCTCACCTGTCCTGGAGAAGCATCTTGATATGATTGAACATGTCGATTTTAAAAAAAAAAAAAAAAAAAAAAAAATTGAGTGAAATATATAATACTGCCAAAGGAAAAGCATCTAAATAATTTTTTGAAGAGAAAAGTATTTGAAGAGGACAATACAGACCTGGGCACAATTGAGGATGACTCATCATCCTCATCTCTTGAATTGTAACTGGTTTTGTTTCCTTGTGTGCCTGTTCAGAAATTGTGCCTGACCAATTCTGCCTATCTATCTGCGTTAAACTGGTATTCTAACTGTTAATTGTTAAGCTGTTACAATGCAGATGTTGCAAAATGTTTTGTCAAGAACTACCTGGATGCTGTTCTGTATGTTTCACACATTATGTCAGCCACGATTCTGTGGGTAGCACACTTGCCTCTGAGTCAGAACGTTGTGGGTTTAAGGAGCATTTCAGAGTCTTGAGCATAACATTTTCAGGTTGGCAGTCCTGTGCAGTACTGAGACTGCTGCATTGACTGAGGTGCTCCCCTTTGGAATGAGATGTCAAACTGGTGCCACGTCTGGGTGGGTATAAAAGATCCTGTGATACAGTCCAGAGAAGGTCATGACAGATGTCCCGATGCCATGGCCAATGGTTAAGCCACAATCAAAATAAGTGTCACTGTTTCTTTGGATCTTGCTGTGTAAACAATTAACTGCTGCAATTTTTGATAATATAACAGTGTCTACACGCACACTTAATTGGCCAAGGAAGATACTTTGAGAAGACCTGAGGCCATGTGGGTCAGAGTAGAAATGTTTTTTCTGTCAAATCAGATAAAATTTGCAGATGCTATTCTCGTCACAGGGCTCAATGAAAACAGTCAACTGCAGTGAACGTTGGATGAGTGTTTTGCAGCATAGGGAGTCTAATTCTCAAATAAAGTGCAATAAATATATTTCCATGTTGTGACTCATTTGTTTATTGTGATTATTATGAAAATAATCTAATACTATAACAAAGTCAACAGTTTTAGGGATCAATAATTCCTTCTTGCCCATCCCATTTCCTCAAGATAACTATGATGTATTTGTAAATCTTTGTCCTGAATAAAGTCTAGTCTGACTGTGTAGCTTTCAGTTGCTAATAACTTTTATCAACTTTTTTTTTGCTGAAAGATTTGCCTCAATTTTTTATTTTGTTAGAAAAAAGCAGAAGAGTAGGCTATTTGGCATCTCGTTTGTTTTTGCTATTTCGTAAGATCATTGATCTGATTTCTGGTTTCAGCTCCACATTCCTGACTACCTAGATAATCATTTGACTCTCAATTTGAACTAAATTCTGAAAATCCTCGAATTATAGTCATTGGTTTGCTTTTGAATATTAGTGTAATTACCTCCAACTAATAGTGGTGTAGGATGTGATGGAAATGGAGGTTCAATATGAAAGAGAGCGTGACAATGTGCTTGTTTTGACCCCCCTGCTTTATTTTTAAACCAAATGCCTTGTAGTGAATGCAGTTCTCTATATGCACCATTTCCACAATTGTAATCTTATTTGGTGGAAGTTCCTCCTGGGATTTCATCCAGGCATGCTTTTTCAACTTTCTGAAGAGATTCACTATAAATAAGATTACTTCTGATTTTCAAATTAAGCCCAATGTAGCAGCATGGCATTTTTATTTCCCATGTGATTGCTGTACTCCATGCTGTTGGAAAACTTTAATTGTGCTCAGAGATAGTAGGAACTGGAGAATCCGAGACAACAAGGTGCAGAGCTGGATGAACACAGCAGGCAAGCAGCATCATAGGAGCTTAGACCCTTCAGACCCGAAACGTCAGCCTCTCTGCTCCTATGATGCTGCTTGGCCTGCTGTGTTCATCCAGCCCTGCACCTTGTTGTCTCGGATTCTCCAGCATCTGCAGTTCCTACTATCTCTCATAGGAGCTTGATGCTGCTTGGCCTGCTGTGTTCATCCAGCTCTGCACCTTGTTGTCTATAATTGTGCTCAATTCTGATTTCAACAGGTAAATGCAGAAAGGAATCAAAATTAATTTTACTATTAGATGCAGTAGTGTTGATGTTAAAGATTGTGCAAAGGACTGTAGCCATTTGAAACACCTTGCTTTACAAACAGATTAATGGTACAGTAATGCAATATATTCCACTATAAAAAGAAGGGACTTTGTAACACATGATTACCAAACTCATCTATGTAAGAGTAGCCAGGTGGAGGCTAGACATTTTCTAACAATAAAGAAGGAATGTCAGTGGAGAGTCCTCCTAGGCCACAAATGTCCATGGTCACTTTAACAGTGCTGTAACCAGGAGCAGGTTGCCTGTTTAGTGTCTCAGCCGCAGTGCATGGTAATCTAATCAAATGCATAATTTACAACAAAACAGTTAATCTTGTTTATTGCTGTTCTGTGCATGCAGGGTCTTCCCATCTGAGCTGTTAGGACATTTGTACAAACTCGGGCTGATTTCTAGGTTATTATTAAATAATGTCTCTTAATAAATTGTACATGATGGTAAAGCTACAGACCAACATCCTTTGAGCTGTAAAGTTTCCAATCTCCTAGCAGAGTCCTAGAACATGCCTACAATGGTCACAGTGACACAACAGCTTACTTCACGTTCACTTATATTGTCATTAAACCCTACTTTTACACAAGGCTTCATTCCTCTCCAAAAAGTTTGAGTTCCTGATCTCTTTCACAGTTAACATACTCTTAGCTGAATAGAATTTGATTAATCTGTAACTGCAGAAATGTGGAAGTGTGGTGGAGCAATTCTCTGCAGATAAAACTACCACATATGCTCATTTTATTCTCTGCACCACAACTGCCAGAATACAATTCAGCAGTCGCTCTGTTTTTTACAGCAAGTGTATATGCTAAACCTTTGCTTGATGCTTGGGCTTTACATTTTAAAGCATACTTTTAGAGTAAAGGGAATTGCACTTCTCCATATAGTCACTGAGCTTGTAATATGTTAGTGAGGCCAGAACACCTGAGATATTTAATTAATTTTGTAGCAAATTCCCTTCCAACATTTATTGAAGAACGACTTGGTTGTAATGAAAAGTTGGAAGTGAGGCAGAAAAACGTTTATTGTTGCTTTTTAGTCTATTGATGTACATAGAAGGGGTATATTCCAAAGGGTGCATGTAAGAGCCATTGGTTGTTTTCAATGCTTTCATTATTCTGAAGTTGGGAAAACAGAGATCCATAACCCCATGTATGTTCTCAGTGCATTGGTTGGAAGGTTTGAGTTATAAGGAAAGGCTGGGATTTTTCCACTGGCGCATAGGTTGAGAGGCAACCTTTATAGAAGTTTATAAAACAATGAGGGGTATAGATACAGTTAATGATAGTTGCCTTTTCCCTAAGATAGGGGAATTTCAAGACTAGGGGGCACATTTTTAAGATGAGGGGAAAGAGATTGTAAAAAAAATGCCCCTCATGTCTTTTTAAAAAGGTTTGTATGTGGAATGAACTTCCTGAGGAGGTGGTGGATGTGGGTATGATTACAACATTTAAAAGGCATTTAGATAAGTGCATGAATTGGAAAGGTTTGGAGGGATGTGGACCAGGTGCAGACAGGTGGGTCTAGTTTAATTTGGGATTATGTACAGCATGGACTGGTTGGACCAAAGGGTCTGTTTCCAAGACAACAAGGTGCAGAGCTGGATGAACACAGCAGGCCAAGCAGCATCATAGGGTCTGTTTCCATGCTGTACAATTCTCTGACTCTATGGTTGTACCCTAGATATCATACTAGTGGTGTGGTAATTAATTATCAAAAAGCTGATTTTTGTTTTTATTTGCAATCATTCAAATGTGAATGTTGGTGCAATGGCCAAGGAGTGTACCTCCTCTTTAAGAGCTTAACTTTTTTTTGGCAAGGATTCATCATTGAGCCACCAGCAGTTACTGATGCAAACACGGAACAGGAGTAGACCATTCACCCCTTCAAGCCTGCTCTGCCATTCAATAATTTCATTATGACTGATACGCAGGAATATAGAGTTGAGGTTAAAATCCTATCTCCTGACAATCTTTCATCTCGTTGGTAAACTAGAATCTACCGCTGCCTAAAAAATATTTAAAGGTTCTACATCGCTGCCTTTTGAGGAATAGAATTCCAAAGATACTCGACCCTCAGCAATTTTCTTTTCGTCATCTGCTTTAAATGGGCAACCTATTATTTTTAAACTATGGGCCCTTGTTCTAGATATTCCCACAAGAGGAAACATCCTCTCCACATCCACCTGGTCAAGTCCCTTAGCATTCCTCCTGTAAGTCTGGGTGATTTCTGATTTGTTATTCTTATGTTGAAAACGCTCCTAACCCGAATTATCCGAAGACGTCACGCTCAATGATGACTGAAGCAAATCACTGACTCACAGCAGACTTTGTCAGCTGCTTGACAATAATCATGATCAAAGTGTGAATCAGCTGCTCCATGTGACTTGCCTACTGCGTGTAGTTTTCTGCTAATAATCCTACTGCTGTATGTGAGATTAAGATGGCTGACTCCTTATTGGAAAGTCTCACGCATGGGCTTTGTGCTTTATTATTCAATACAGCTGTCACATTTTCAGTAGCTTGAAATAAAATCACAAGGTGCTGGAGAAACTCAGCAGGTCTGACAGCAACTGAGGAGGGGGAGAAAAGTGATGCAGTGGTAAAGTCACTGGGTTAGTAATCTGGAAACGCAGGCTAATATCCCAAGGACAAGCGTTTGAATTCCATGATGGCAATCAGTGAAATTTGAATTCAATCAAGAAATCTGGAATAACAAAAGTAAATAAAGAAACTGGTTAATGACAACCATGTAACTGTTGTCGATAGTTGTAAAAACCTGTCTGGTTCATTAATCTCCTTTTGGGATGGAAATCTACTGCCCTTAACTGGTCTAGTCTCCATGTGACTCCAGACCTACATCAAGATGGCTGACTCTTAATGGACAATGCCCACATCTCATGAACGAATAAAAGAAAAGCTCCATTTCTAAGACACCGGTTTCCAAAGAAGGATTCTAAGATGTGAGTTGCAGGATTTCTCAAAGGACGGGTGTGAGGAGATTAGATATTCCCCAATCTAACTGAGAATGGAACTAACTAGATTGTTGTTTGAAGAGCTGGTCCAGAGTTGATGGGCTGAATGGCATTGTAGGAATATTTATAGTACTGAAGAAAGCCATTGGGCCGATTGTATCTGTGCTGGCTCACTGAAAGAGCAAGTCACCTTGTGCCTCTCCTCTGCCTGCCTCCTGTGTCTCTTGCAATTTCCCTTTACAGATATTGATCCAATTCCCTGTTTCAAGATCCTAACTACTTGCTGTGTGAAAAAGCTTTCTGTTGTGTTGTCATTGCTTCTTTTGCCAATTAACCCAAATTTGAGGCCACTTGTTCACAGTCACTCCACCATTGGGAAAGGTTTCTCTTTAAGTACTCTGTCCAGACCCCTCGTGAGCACCTCTATCAAATCTCCTTAAGATCTTATGGTCTAATGGTGTCCTCTCAATTTCCTGTTTTTCAAAGGATAACAATTTCTCCTGTATATTTACGTAACTGAAATTTATTATCCTTGGACCATTCTCATAAATCTTTTCTCCCTCTTCACATCCTGGTCGCAATATCCCAGCTGAGGCTAAACCAGTGTTTATACAGGTTTCACATTACTTTCCTGCTTTATGTCCCTATTGACAAAGCCTAGGATGGTGTTTACTTTATTAAGCAGCATCTCTAACCAGTTCATCCATCTTTGGTGATTTATACATCAGATCCCTCGTTCACCCATTTTTTTTCCTAAATTCCTATTCTCATGTTTTCTCCTTATGCATTTTAATTCCAGTTTTCAAGCTGTGCCCCCAGTTCTACATGACTTCCTGTCTCAATATCCTTTCAGGCAGTGAGTTCCAGACTGCTACTAATTCTCCTCAACTCTCCTTTTACCTCTTACCCT